GTTATCTATTGAAAGTAGGAAATGGGCACGAGGTTCGCCCTGAAATAGAGAGTGTAAGCGAGTGTGGACCTCGGGTGATTATGTAACCGAGGTCACGTGACATGCGGTGAGGCCATGGATGGTTGAAGCCATCACGACACACCCCCCCAGACGAATCCTCGTCTGGAAGAAGCGCGCCGAACCATCCGCATCGTCGTAAAAAGTGCTGCTAAACGCGTAAATCTAAACAATACCGTGTAGGAATCTATTTACAAAAGGAATTACAAAGTGAATCGCGCTGCGCGCTGAGTTGTGGGCGTAGGGTAGATGGGCAGTAGTTTGCCAGCCGTGTTCGTTGCCATGGGTGATCTCGAGGCTCCTCTGTTGACAGTAGGCAGGACCGAGGGGCGGCCTCTCATTGGCCGAATAATCAGCCTACGGTCTGAGGCAGGTAGGTAAGTGAATTCCTTGCGGCCGCCCACTGCTTTGACTTTCCTTTCCTTCTTCAACCCACATCCACATACCAACCGTACGTATATACCCTCACTTTTCGCTTCCGCGCCCGCGTTCGCGCGCGTGCCCGTCGGCAGAAGTAGGAATCGCAGCTAATAATGTCGTTTGAGATAGATGCCCAAACGTACCAGGGCTGAAAAGCGCGCTCGCACCGCCGCAGCGCGCGAGGCCAAGCGCCTCAAGACGACTTCGGGGGAGAGCGGCGGCTCCCCCACCCACGACGACGATCCGCCTGCGGGTAAGTGATACCTTCCTCGTGTTGGACTCCGGTCGGCCAAGCGATAGCATCGTGCCGTGACTTTGCTTTCAGACTTGCTGACGTTCCTATCCATAGGCGACGGCCTTCCGGCCGAAGAAGAGACCACCCAGGAGGTGGGTGGAGGTGAGGGTGGTTCAGAGCCCCCTCCCTCGCTCCCTCCTGGCGGGCGTGAGGCGGTTCCCCGTGAGTACAATGTCCTTTCCTCGACGTCGTCGTTTACGATTCTGATTCTTGATAGCGTACCCCTCCGGCACCCCTGGTGCCGAGGGACTTCTCGAGCGGGTGCCACCGCCGTTCGGTGCCGAATGCTTGGGCTGCATCAAAAGCGCCCTTAGTGGACGAACGGAGGGGTGGTGCCTCCCAGGCTCAAGCGCTGGCAGCAAATGTGCGCGTTGTCAGGCCGGCAAGAAGTCCGGCTGCGCTCCCCTCCAGGGGCGTACGCGCGAGCTGGGCGAGAAGTTCCTGCGCCTCAAGCGGGCGAAGAAGGAGAATCCGGCGGAGACCCCGCAGAAAGTCAGTCTCTACACGTGCTCGTCGTTCTGAATCAATTGCTAACTATCTCCAGGACCTGACTCGCGTAACGGCGGCGTTGCGTGAGGCCCTGGCGGCCGACGGGCTGCTGGGTGAGGTCAAGGACGAGGTGGCTCGTGTAGACGAGGCTTCGGCAAGAGAGGCGTCTATGGGCGCTCTCTCTGTGCTCGAGGCCCAGTTGAAAGAGCCTGTTGAGGAAGAGAAGGTGCCGGCTGCCTCGCGTGCGAAGGCTGACGGTATCCGGATCGGAATCGACACCCTCGTTGGCATTCATGTCCCCGCGGACGTGGTGCCCGCGTTGAAGTCCCTTCTGGACGAATACGCGCTTGCCCTCTCAGGCAAGTAATCCTTTCGTGGCGACCCGACGGGGTCGCCGGAGCAACTTTATGCTCCCTGGCCATGGGCCACGTTTATAAATTGAAAACCCGGGCCCCCCGGGGCGTTCTGCTGCCTCCCCAGTGTTCCCTCGTTCTGTGTGACCATTCCTCGTGTGTCCCTCATGTTCAAGAGCGATACGAAGTGTTCGAACTTCGCTCGTGAGAGGCTCTTTGTGAGACCGTCGGCTGGCATCTCATTTGTTGGCATATAGACCACTTCAAATGAGCCTTTTGAGTGCTCTTGACGTAGCCACATGTTCTGGATATCGACGTGGCGAAGGCGAGTTGAGATACGTTCCCCTTCCTCCACTACAAGCCTTATTGTCTGACGATTATCACAGTGAACCTTCCAGACGTCCCCGAGTTCAAGCGATATATCGCTGAAAAGGCGTTTCAAAGCGAGTGTCTCCTTAGCAGTGTGTTCTAAGC